TTCAGTCCTTTTGTTTACAGAATAATCAATTACAAAATATCGAAAACCTAACACAAAAGCCCTCAATTATGTAATTGGGCAATATTATATATGGTGCCATAAGGTGATACTAATCTAATTATAATCTAGAGCTAGTTTTATCTAGTGTAACTCTTGCCATTTTCGACAGATTCATGGAATAATACTTTCCTTCTGTTTATGAGAAATGCACATCTTTTTACTTGAATTTCAATTGGGCTTTTCATTTGCAGGTTATGGGCCAGCTGGATATGCGCTTTTCGTGGCAGTCTATGCTGGATTAGAGGCGAGATTGTATTCTTTCTTGAGCATATTTAATCATCCTTGGCATAATCCATGTTTTGCTACAACAATTCTATTTGTTAATCAATCCACTTCTTTTAAATGACAATTTATGATTAAACAATGATGATAGTCAATTTTTTTTTTCGTTACTGGAATTCAGCAAATGAGTAGCATTTACAAGACATGAATGGAAACTTGAACTGAATTGCAGTAACTTATTGATTCTAGATCAGTGTGAAATGGAAACAAATGAATATTCTAAGCAATTACTTAGTTGTCATTTTATAATGGTTGACACGCACACTATCATATTGAGTTTCCATAATTTCAATTAATCCTACTTTTATGTAAATTACTGTGTGTGCTGCAGGTACTCGCAATACCAGCCATCCCATTGACTATGTCTGCTGGTCTTCTGTTTGGGTCAATTACTGGAACTATCATTGTCTCTATCAGTGGGACGGTAAGACTATCGTTGTCTCAATAGTATTAAACAAGAAAGGAAGCTAAAATTTTGTTTACCATTGTTTGTCCAATATTACGTACGAAATAAGAACTAGAAGTCCTGTTTACCTCCCACTTTCAGGTGGCAGCCAGTGTTGCATTTCTAATTGCCAGATATTTTGCCCGTGAGCGTATTCTTAAGCTAGTTGAAGGGAACAAGAAATTCCTTGCAATAGACAAAGCTATTGGGGAAAATGGTTTCAGAGTTGTTACTCTTCTCCGTTTGAGTCCATTGCTTCCATTTTCGCTTGGAAATTATTTATATGGGCTTACTTCTGTCAAATTTGTGCCGTATGTGTTAGGAAGGTCAGCTTTGCTATATTAATTGCTTTCTGAATAATTGGCTTTCCTGTTGCATATGCTGTGATACAAGTGCTTTCTTTTCCCCTTAGTTTGACCAATATTTTTAGAGATTGTTTTCTTTCTTTTCATTTTAGATTGAGATGTATTTATAATTTATATAGCGTCCAAACCATAGTTTCTTTCTTGTTTAAAATATAGAAATAGAGATTACTGAAGTTTTGAGAGTTTGTTTTGCATGCTTTAAGTGTGATCAACTATTCATCTCTGATTCAAAACGACGATGTGTTTCTAAGTTCAAAATCGTGTGAATCACCATTAGTTTCCATCAGTTATTATATTTAATATAACTCGTATGTTTACATATGAATACTGACTAGCAATCTAGCAGACAATGTGATACCCATTGAATGCTAGGCAATCATCTAGTCTAATTTGACCAAAACTCAATTAGCCGAAAAAGGTTGCAATTATTTTGGTATTAATGAAAAAAGTCTTTCTTACATTTTGCTCTTAAACCGACAAAAAAGAAAATTCTTTACAACTATGAAACCGTAGAATTCATTAAGTAGATGAGCATATTGTATGAAATATTGGGTGGATAAAATTTGTGAAGATTCATATGCCGGCCAGATATTGCTGGTGAACTTTATTATTTGATGAAATGTTCACTGTTAAATTGGCTATTTGTTCTGATGTATTCGCCTTTGCAGTTGGTTAGGTATGCTTCCAGGGACATGGGCATATGTGAGTGCTGGTGCATTTGGCAGAGCAATTATTGTGAGCCTTTACTTAGTCTTCTAACTCTGCACAAATCGTTGTTATTTAGTTGTTGAAACTATGCAGAAAGTGTTGTGAAACAATTGTACAATCCCTCACAGATGACATTCTGCTAGATAGCCTGTCGTCTGCTAAATAGCCTTTGGCCAATCTTTGCTGTAAATCTTGATTTCTCTAAGCAGAAAGTACCATTTGGGGAGTTAGTTCTCTTTCTTTAGGTGGAGTCATTAGATAAAAAACATTATGTGCATGCTTAGTACACAATTCTGGACGGGACTAGATAGAACGGAGGACAATGTTTCAGCTTCTTTTTGTTTCTTAATACTGTCCATTCATCCAGTACTAGGCACTCGAGCAACATCAACACCTAAGCTCATTGCACAGACAAATGATGGTGTGAAACCACACCAATAAATCCTGCTGTAATACGAAACTGTCCTATCTTGTCTAATTGACTAAAAAACTCCGTACTTTACTAACTAGATTTAGGGACTTAGATTTGAGTGGATAAATTGTGGCTCATTAATACAGTGAATATCTATTCACGAGATAGCATGCTGTTTGATGAAGCCTTCTTCCTTGCTAGTTAAGTAAGAAATAAGGTTCCCGTCCCTTCATCATGCCATAGTCTCCTAACCATGAGGTTGTTTTGTTGCTGCCAATTGCCTAACATGGCTACTTATTATTTCATTTTTGGGATTCTCTCTCACGGTTTAGCTCTTAAAATTGCATCAAAGCCTGTACATATTAATTCTTATGTTGTTTTTGTGAATCTTAGTTCTATTTTATATTGATAAATGATGCAATGGTAAAAATCGACCTTGGTGCTCACTGAAAATGGAAAGTGAACATCATCAAGGACCAAACTGATCTGATTCCGTCATTTGGTTGGTTATTGTATTCTCTGGTCACTATCTACGAAATGCTTTTTCACCGTTCAGCTAACTACAAAGAAATGGCAACTCTTTTCTCCCAGTCATTAAATCTCCTTAAAATGTTTTAAATCATGTGGGTTGCTTGATTTGTTTTACCGTTGTGTTCAATGGATGAGAAGCTACTGAATAAACTTTTGCTTGTTACCTTTTTGGATTCTTCCAGCAAGAAGAGTCTGATGTAGGGTTAACTGGAGGAAATGGTCAGCTATTGACACTTGGATTAGGACTCTTAGCAACTGCACTGGCTGCAACCTACGTGACACGGCTTGCTAAGGTAATGCCACTGCACTTCCAATGACTTGAGAGTCTTTTTTGATTGTTCGATTTGACACAGTTTTTTGATATCTTGAGGTTGATTATGATGCAGGATGCCATAAAAGATATTGAGTAGACGGGGGTAGATGACTCTGCCTTGTAACGTCGCGGAAGTATAGTTTGAAGTGTAGAATAATCTATAGATACATCATATCTTGTACATCAAAATTTAAACAATTGACCTAATTGAATAAGAAAATTATATCATTTTTAATAGGGGTGGACAAAAATCAATCCAAACCGACCAATCCAACCCAAATCGACCGATTTTGGTTGGTTTTTAAGTTCAATTGGGTTGAAAAATCAAATTTGAGGTCAGGTTGGGTTGTGTTTCGGGTTATGAATTAAAATCTAATTTATCCCAACCGATGAATAAAAAAAAATTAATACCTAAAATGAAAAACCTAATAGACACAATAGTAGAGAGAAGAGAAGGATTTAGAAGGAACAAATGTTTCATTTGTTTTTCTCGTAGGCTGATTAATACTATGTATGAATGCAAAATAATTTAGGGATAAACTAAAAATTATGAACGTTATAACGAATTGAATAAATCCCGAAAAAATTATAAAAAGGACATGTCCCATGTGTCAAACTCATTTATAAATTAATTTTCAGAAAGAATTTCTTGTATAGGTAATCGAATTCAACTTAAATTGGGTCCAAGTCTAAATCGACCACCCAACCCAAGCTTGGTCAGTTTGGGTTGTGATTTTATACTAGTAATTGGGTTGAGTTTGTTTAATTTTAGATCAAATTGATCGTGGTGAGTTGGATTTGAATTGGATAAAAAGTCAACCAAGCCCACGCTCATTCCTAATTTTCAATTGTTTCATTTATTTTTAAGCTACATGAGTAAGGGAACATTTTGTGAAGTTTGTTTATACTAATCTTTATTAGTTTCTTGTGTATGGTAATTTGGTTCAAGTGAATCACCTTGTAGGCTTTTTGGCTATAGAGTCAAATCACGAATGAATTATTTTTGTTACTCCGTACAATTCATTATTATGATAAATAATTGAGCGGTTTTCACGTGTTTGCATATGAAGTGGGGTTTTGTTTCTTGATTTAACCCATATTTGGAAATATATTGTTTTGAATAGTGAATTTTTAGAAAATTTGTGGTTAAAAAATAGACAAAATTTTTGAATTTACGTGTACAATATTTTATTGTGTAAATGTGTAGTTGAGATTGAGTATGTAAATTTTTCTTTTGAAAGAATGAGAGACAATTACAAACAAGGTTTAGGGAGTGGTATCCGTTTAGACGTGTTGACTTTTTATAATTAGAGGACTGTTTGTAAAATTATAGCTTGACTGAGGACCAACGGTGCAATCTTCCCAAAAATATCTCTCCCGCTTGGCTTGCCCTATAAATTAATAAATGGAAATTGAAATAAAAATAATATAACCATTTCACAACATAAAAGCTCCGTAACTCGGAACCCTAGCCAGGTTTACGTTATCGGATCTTGATTAACAATGTCGGAGGAGTTTGCACCTGGCTACGTGGCTCCAGCGGACGATCATCCGAAAAGAAAGCTTGAAGATTTGGAGCTCAACGACGTGTCTCAGCCACTCGCTGCCCCGGACTCGACGGCCAACGCGGATCTGGACACAGTGAAGAACGCGACTGAGGAGGAGGAAGAGGAGAATGGCACTGCCGACGAGTCTGAGGCAAAGCGAGCGCGCTTAGACAGTAATGATGATAATAGCAATGAAACCGACAGTGTTGGTAATTTTGTTTAATAAGCTCTCTTTTTCTCCACTTTTCTGGATTGCGATATAGTGTTTAATTTGTAACTAATCTGGCTCTTCAGGGCTGGTGATGGGGACAAGGGATATGATGTTTTATTGGATTTATCTTTTGTTGTTTAAGAAATTAGATGTGAATTGTGATATGGGTAAAAGGTATGAGCAGACTTATAACTACAACTATCCAGTTCCTTATCTCCATTCTTTTCCTCCAGAAAGGTTTTATTATAAAAATTTGTAGTAGTCATTAACGTGAAGGCACAATGGGAAAATGACCATATTAATTGAACAAAATTTAATATTTCTGCCTGCTACTTCAATTGTATTCAATTGAATTATGGAAAAGTTAGAAAACTTCTTTCTAACAGATAAGTGACTTATTTTTCTCTTCAAAATTATTTGGTTAGAACCTACTCATAATGGAAAGTTAAAGGAGTTGGAAGACAAGCCGAGAGAGGAGGAGGCTGGGGAACCTCAAGTTACAGATAATCATGACTTGTGTCAATCGGCTCAAGAACTTGCCACGGGAGCTATCGAGAAGACCACTAGTGAACAACTAGCTTCTGATCAGAATGATAATGCCCAGACCAAAAGTCCTCAGGAAGGACAATCTGAAGGAGAAGCTCAGGAGCCTTCTGAGGAAGTTCCTAAAGAGGAAGATGTTCCATCAACTGAGCTGCAGTCAGGGTCTGATACCCAAATACTGTCGCACAAAATGGAAGTTCCCAGTGACAAGGTGAATTTAACTAAGTAATTCTTCATTAGCATTTTTTTTTTCCTGTAAAATTGATATATTAAACCAATGTAAGGCCCCGTCCCTTTTTTACCCTGATTGGAATAGTTAACAACGTCATCTAAAGGTCTAACATGCACATTTACATAAATGGGGTGAGAAAGTTGAGTCCGGGAAAATTTTATTTATTTAAAAGTAAAATCATACCTTTTTTGTTTTTTTTTGGTGTTTGGGGGGGGGGGGG